GCCTGGTCCTGCACCATCCTCACAATCTTTGCTATGTTTGAGCTTATCATTGCAGCCACTCGGTCAATCCATGTTGTTGAGGGTTTTCCCGTTTTTCACTGACCATCTACTTTACCAAGTATGGTATCTTTTTCCAGGGACTTCTGACAGTATAACCAAAGTATGTGAGATGAAGTCTGGCCATTCTTGCTTCTAAGGAGCATTCCAGCTGTACTCCTCCAAGACAGATTTGTTCATTAGACAAGACATAATTAGTGTCATAATACATATTTATTGAATGAAAATTGATAAAAATTTGAGGGACTGGTTATAGAAGTATGCCATATTTACAGTGGAGAAGAGTCATATAAGAGTGGAAAATTAAAGCATTCTAGAAACATGCTTGAGACAGCTTTTGTCTTTTTAGTTGCCTAGTACTCAAATGTTCTAGCCTCATCGAGGCTAAAATCCCAAATCAGGGTGTCGGTTCTAGGGAAGTGTTCTTTCTTGTCAGTTGCAGGTGTTCCTTGGCTTATAGACAATCCTTACATAGTCTCCTCCCCATGTGTGTCTATATTCCCCTTTTATAAGACTCCACTCAAAAGGGATTAGGTTTAGGACCCACCCTCCTCTGCTCTGACTTCATCAACAAAAGAAAAACCCTATTTCCAAACAAGGTCACATTCACAGGTATACGGGTTAGGATTTCAACATATTTTTTGAAGGAGACGATTCTGTCCATAACATGCTCCTTCTGGGCTCACAGATACTAGGGGAAGATAATGTAACTGGGTCTCTGAGCAGATGGAGAAGGTCTATGACAAAGAAATGAAATCCATTCTGTTCAGGTATTAATAACAATTGTAGATCTAGATTTGCTATGAAGAAATATGTCAGTGACACATTAATTAACAATAGCAAGTTTCAAAATTTTATATAGAGTTAAATTCTATTTGTGTATGTTTTTCATAAGCTACACACATAGATGCTGAAAGGTACATTTAATAATTTTTCCTGATTCACCAGAAACTGATAACCAGCGATTAGTTTTGAGAAAAGGAACTGGAGAGGAGGGGCACCAGAGGAGAAAAGGGAGGGAGATTTGAAGCTGAAATGGGTCCATAGGGTTTCATTACACTATTCACTCCACTATTACATAATATTTAAATTTTCCATTAAAACGCAGTCTAACTGCAGAGTGCAGGAAGTTCAAAGTGGAAGCAAGGAAACCAGCTAGGAAGCTAATGTTAAAGTCTATTAGCTAATGCTGAAGTCTCTGTAAAAAGAGGTATACACACCCTGAATTAAGAATGATTGCCATTCTAAAATCTGTCTTTTAAGTTGAATTTGTATGTACATTGGAACAGTTAGATACAGTTCATATCTAATGTCAGTCAAATTTGTGTGTGTGTGTGTGTGTGTGTGTGTAGAAAGAACCTTTCTATGAATAAAAAACATTAAGGAAACACTTCCAGATACACTAAAGCATCTTTAACATAATAACACAGTAATAATAATAACAATAATGTTTCTCTGCACATCATAAAGTAGAGTCATTTGGTATCATGAACCTCACGTTTCTAATATAATAGGTGTTACAGGGGTTGGTTCCTAACTATGGCTTGGTTGTAACCCAAGGACTGCCTGTATAGCAGTCTGGACTATGGTTACTGGTTTTCTCTATGTGGAAAATGTTAAGTAATATAATTTTTATATTTGTTTAAATTTTATTATTTTCCCATAAAGATCATGCGTAACTTGAATAATTTTTTCATCTTCAAAGTCAATTTCACACTGCTTCATTGAATCAGGACAAGAGAGTCCCTGTAAGCAACTATATAGCTTGCTTAGTCTGTACAACTGCAATGTGAAATAAAACATAATCGCTTTATAAAATTTGAAATTCAGCATTTTAATGAAATAAATGCCTCAATAATACAGTCAAAAGCACAGGAACTGGAATCACAGAAAACTGGCTGGTGAGCTTACCAGCCATGTGATCCTCAAAGGTCGTTTCAGATGTCTGAGTCTCACTGGTATTATTTCCCATTTCATTTATGTAATTAATTATTACTTTACGTAATAAATACACAGGGCCTTCTCTGTGCTAGAGGTGAACTAAACAGAAGCTTAGGTTCCAATGGAGAGAGAAAGACAATGAACAAATTAAGAAAATTAATACAAAACTATCAAAAAGTGACATGTAGTCTAGAGAAAACTAAAGCAGACAAGAGATAGGTAGTGGAAGAAATATGAATTTTAAATAAAGTGATTCAGAAATGCTTACCAAAGGAGTCCCATCTAAACAACTTTCCTTAGTAAAATAAGAAAAATACCTACCTCATAAGGTTGTTAGAAGCTGTATTAACACAGCATTGGCTTCATCTGAATGCCTGTTAAAAATGCTGACTCTCAAGTTCCACTCTAGATGTATAGAATCAGAATCTGTATTTAACAAAATGACGCTAAGCTTGTCTTTTGCTAATTACAAATAATAATGACTTGTGGTTAAGTGCTTTTGAGTTGGTTCCCACTCTTAGTGACCCTACATACAACAGAACGAAACACTGTCCAGTACTGCACCATCCTAATAATCGTTGTGATGTTTGAGCTCATTGTTGCAGCCACTGTGTCAATCCATCTTATTGAGGGTCTTCCTCTTTTTCAGTGACCCCCTACTTTACCAAGCATGATGTTCTTTTCTAGCATGTCCAAAGTACATGACATGAAATCACACCATTCTTACTTCTAAAAAGCATCTGACTATACTACTTCCAAGACAGATTTGTTCATTCTTCTGGCAGTCCATGGTATATTCAATATTCTTTACCAACATCATAATTCAAAGGCATTGATTCTTCTTCAGTCTTTCATAGTCATTGTTCAGCTTCTGGGTACGAGGCAACTGAAAGTACTATGGTGTGGGTCAGGTACACCTTAGTTTTCAAAACAACATGTTTGCTTTTTAACACTGTAGTGAATTTGCCAATGCTATATGTCATTTGATTTCTTTACTGCTACTTCCATAGGCGTTGATTGTGGATCCACGTAAAATGAAATCCTTGACAATTTCAATAGTCTCTCTGTTTATCATGAAGTTGCTTATTGATCCAGTTGTGAGGATTTCTGTTTTCTTCATGTTGAGGTCTAATCCATACTGAAGGCTGCAGTCTTCGCTCTTCATCAGTTAGAGCTTCCTGGAATTACTTTCTCATGAACAGAAAGCCAACTTGCAGAAAGAGGACATGGATATTTCACACACTAAATGAAAATATTAATTAAAAATAAAAAATCCTGACAGCTTTAAAGACACGCTCCCCATCGGCTCCTATATCCCTGTCTAATCTTTGGTAATGTTTTCCACTACTTACAAGTAAGAATGGAAAGGAGATTGTATAGTGTCCCCTGACATTTAGACATCAGGAGTCTACTTTAAAAGGATAAGAAACCTCCCCCCCCAAAAAAAGGAGTAACAGGTTAAATTGTTGGGGATATAGGGAAAATGAAAGCTGTATAAAGACAGGACAAATAACAATAATTCAGTTTGCTAAAGAACTGTTTTTGTTTATAAAAACAGCAAATTCAAATAAGAAAGTATAAACCGGATAAATTTTTGATGCAATTTGCAATTAGCTTTACTGTCCTTATCTCCTACAGCTCCCTTTCTAGTCTTCCTTTTTCCATTTCTTAAATAAATATGTAAACACGCTTTCTTATTGCCTTTCAATTTTCCTTTAACCCGATGTAAGTTTTGATTTGAAAATCGACCTGTATAACCTGACTCTACTGCACAAATTCCTTTCTTATAGCCCCAGTCACACAGTAATAGAGAGGCAGGGTTAAATTTGCACGTGGCTGCGTAAATTATAGGCAGGATGTCCATAGTAAGGAAACCAAAACCAAACCCGCTGCCAACTAGTCGATTCCGGTTTATTGCGACCCTATGGGACACTAACACCGTTGGGTTTCCAAAACTGTAATGTTTATGGAAGCAGACTGACACATCTATGTCCTGCAGAGCGGCTCGCAGAACTGCTGACCTCTTGGTTGGCAGCCGAGCGCTTAAACACTGTGCCACAAGGGGTCTTTCCATAGTAAAGACTAAGGGGAGGATTCTCTGACAGTAAAAATGACGATAATGAGATAAATGACCAAATCTACATTAAAAGCATGCCCTAATAGATTTAAAAGGTGCTCTGGTGGTGCAGTGGTTAAGGCATTTGTCTGCTAACCAAAAGGTCGGTGGTTTGAGCCCACCAGCCGCCGTAGGAAAGAAAGATGAGGCAGTCTACGCCCATATAAAGATTTCCAGCTTTGGAAACCCAATGAGGGTCGCTATGTGTTGGAATAGACCCGATGGCATTGTGGTTGGTTTGGAATCGATTTAAAATTTCTCTAAGAAATTCTAAAGAATTTTGACTTGGAGCAAACGTGAATTATTCTCTGGAGGGGGAGGAAGTGGAAACATGAATTATTACTATTTACCTCTTTTTTAGTGAGTAAGGTGAGAAGCAACTTAGGAGACAAAGACGCTGCAGATTACAGTGCAGCCCCAATACTAGGAGCAAAACTTTTATCAGTCCCCAGTGTCCCTTCATGAATCCAGGAAATAACAACCCTCACCAAGTGACCAGAGGCTGCCCTCACCGCCGCTTTGCCCCTAACCTTTTCTGGCCCGCTTCCTCTCCGAAAAGAGCTGTGGTGGCACAGTGGTTAAAGCGCTCGACTGCTAACCTGAAACGCGGCGGTTCAAACCCACTAGCCGCTCTGCAGGAGAAAGACGTGGCCGTCTGTTTCCTTCAAGATTTATTGCCTTCATACCGTAAGTGGACGTTCCCTGACTACAGATTGACGTTTGGCTGTGGGAATAGATTTTGGTTTTCCCTCCTCAAGATGGCAGCCGGAGCGTCGGTGCCGGCGCGACGCGCTAGGCACTCTGGGAGCGGAAAAGGGAGGCCGCGCGGCGGCGGCCGAGAAGGAAGAGGAGGAGCCCAGGCCAGGAGGAGCCGCGGGAGCCGCACCGGTGTTCGCGGGTCGCCGAGAGCCGGGCCTGGCCGTTGGGGTGTGTCGTGATGCCGGAGCTGGCGGTGCAGAAGGTGGTCGTGCACCCCTTGGTGCTGCTCAGTGTGGTGGATCACTTCAACCGGTGAGCGGGCGACGCGGGGCGGCCTGGCGGGGCCGGAGGTGCCGCCGCTGCTGAGTCACGGGCATGCTGGGGACGGCGCGGCGGATGCGGTCGCGCTGGGGGCGCTGATGGAGTGGGGTGCGGCCCGGACTCGGCGAGGGGCCGAGATTGGCCCCCGACTCACGCAGCGGGAGTCATCTAGCATCACCTCCTGACCCGCGCCCTAGCCGGCATCGCACTGGGGCTTGACACCTCGGTTCCTTTTACTGAAGTGTTTTTGGTTCCAGAGTATGGGGGTGGGGGCCGAGCTTGAAATGGCCCTGAGCCTCCCAGACCTCTTCCCCGTTTGCCACCCAGTTCGGCCTCTTTCACCAAAAAGAATGTGTCTCGAAGGGGAAGGCTCTTCAGACTCGCGCTTCAATACCTCTGAAGGCTGTCACCGAAATTCCGTTCTCAGCGCTCTGAAAGGGTTACTGGACGGGCTGTGGTTTTAACCTGTGAAGGGTTCTAAACGGGAATCTGGTTCTATGATAAAACGCAGATAAAATGTCAAGTTTTTCTTTAAAAAAAAAAAAAATGCAATGAGACCGACTGGAGATTTTGACAAAGGTAAGAATGTCACAGTCGTTTGATATCCTAGTTTATCGAAGGTGTTCTTCCGCCATCCCTGCTTGTTTTCGAGCTGTTAATCCTGCTAGACCTGTTCGTAAGTTTTACGAGATAATTACTTGAATTGGCAAATGAGGAAACCCAGTTGGGAGCATGTGTGAAATCATAGTTGCCAAGTGTCCCATTCTCCTGCAGCTGCTGATTCTACTAGAGCCAAAAACAAACTCCGAACTCCAAGGGACTTAGGGTCCCCAGTTCAGTTCCATTGCTTTGTAGGACCCTCAGCCTAACAGGATACGCAGGCGTTTCTACTAGATGGTAGTGTTTTTCTCCCAGAGGATACTGGAGGAGCTAATGGAGTAGGCACCATTTCCATTCTGTTTCGTAAACTCAACAAACACTTGTTAAGGACATGCTGCAAGCAGACTACAAATGAGGGCTTTTAAAAAACACAAATGGATTTCCGTAGACCAAAAGAAAAGCCCACAAATGTGAAAGTTTCCTTTGAATTGTGGAAACTAAGTGTCTTAGGACGTCCCAAAAAACCACAGATACCATGAGTTTCAAAGTTAACTTTGTTTGAGCCAGACCTCAAACTTAGGAAGCATTTATAAATTTACCCAAGTATGTGTATAAGAAATATGTTAAAATTGAACCAGTATAAAATTAGCAACTGGGGGGTGGGTGTTCATTTCACCGTGGCTTTTGCCTTTCCTTTGAACATAGGGTTCTATTGTGTCTCTGTCTCACCTATGTTGTGGTTATAGGAGAATTGAAGCCCCTTGTAATGAGATTGTGTAAGTGAAACACTTACAGCTCCCCAGAAAATCAGGAGGTTTTGAATGGGAGTTTTGAAGTATAAATCTTCCTCATTCATTCAGCCCCTTTCACGTGGCAGGAGTCACTTAGCATTGCCCCCTACCCCAGCCGCCACCACGCTGGGGCCTGAGAGACCCCTGTTCCTTTTACCAAAATAGTTTCAGTTCCATAGTGTGGAAGTGGGGGCTGAGTTTCAATGGCCCTGACCCTCCCAGGCCTCATACCCATCTACCACTTTATTCAGCTTTTTTTCACCAAAAAGAATGTGTGTCTTGAAGGGAAGGTGCTTAAGTCAGAGAGGCCCTAAATGACACACACACTTCTGCGGCAGAATCACTTACTGAGCCACTTACAGACATGGAATAGACATTCTAGAGTTTAGCAGCCTGGAGGCTGGACCACAAAGTGGTTCTGCTCCAGCATCTTTATCCCTGAAAAGTTTTAAGGATAGAGAAGATGAGAAGGTTCAAAGGAGAAAATGGCAAAAGAAAATAAGTTAAATGTGATATAGCATAACTGAAATGTGTTTTTCAAATAATACAGAACAGCATTTTGAAACTCTGAAGTTCTGGAGAATTTTCATTTTTCCATTTTAAATTTCTATAAAGTTTAGATTTTTTCCGAGCATGTATTGTTTTGCAATCAGTGATGAGTAAAAAGTGCTAGTGTCCTGAGTTTCTGTTAAGAGTGATGGAAAACTTTGGAAACAAACAGAGGTGATGGTTACACAACTTGTTGACATAATTAATGTCAATGGATTGTACATATAAGAAAGATTGAAATGGTAAATGTTTCATTATATACATATAAACCTAAAATCCAAACCCATTGCCAGCAAGTTGATTCTGACTGATAGCAACCCTAGAGGACCGAGTAGAACTGCCCCACAGGGTTTCCAAGGCAGGAGCTCTGGTAGCATAGTGCCTAAGGCACTTGACTGCTAACCACAAGGCTGGCGGTTCAAACCCACTAGCCACTTCTCGGAAGGAAGGTTGGACAATCTACTTCCGTAGTGATACTGCCTCAGAAACCCAAGGAGGGGTCGCTGTGAATCGGGGCCGACTTGACAGCAAACAACAACAATCTTTACAGAAGCAGGCTGCCATATCTTTCTCCTGCAGAGCGGCTGGTGTGTTCAAACTGCTGACCTTTCAGTTAGCAGCCAAGTGCTTAACCACCATGCCACCAGGACTCCTTGTTGTATATATACTTATGACAAAAAAAGTGCTGGTGCGCAGTAGTACATAATGCAGAAAGCACTTGCACTCTTGCCTTTTTTTTTCCTTTTTCTTTTTTTTGTCATGTTCATAAATTACAGAGAGTCCCTTCTTAAAATGGGGGTTCCATTTGGACAACTCTATCATATGTCAATTCTAGGGTAAGTCCAACAAACACCTACTACCCACCCCCCAGTTTTCATTGTTACTGCCTTTTATTATCAGTATCTTTATAAATTCTGTCTTTGAACATCTGCCAGTGAGCATCTGAGAATGGTAACATAAGCAAATTATGTTTTGCTACACTGTATATAGTACCTATTACTAAAGATAAAATGTACAAAAATGACTGGTGAATGTGTTTCATTGTAATTCAAATAGTCCTAAATTGAGGACTACCTGTACTTGTTGTATTTATTAGCATTTAATATTAAGAACTGATCTAAATATGACATTCATTTAGTGGGATTAGTTCCCAAGTAAACTTCACAAATCTGCACCATTGGTATTTCCCATTGAGTATCTAATTGTTCAGCTCACTCTCAGGCTGTGTGTACCTGTCCAGACTGACCATCTGTTTTCTCATTCAGAATAGGCAAGGTTGGAAACCAGAAGCGTGTTGTTGGTGTGCTTTTGGGGTCATGGCAAAAGAAAGTACTCGATGTATCTAACAGTTTTGCAGGTAAAAAATAAATTGTACATTTTTCTAAACATGGTTAAAGTGACAATTTTAAAAGAAAGAAAACTATTGAATTCTTTTTCATAATTGCTAGAGTTTATGGAGTCTAGAAGCTGCTTACTAAACGAGGTAGTAAATGTTTCGCCTTGCCAGACATAAGGTCCCTGTTGAGCTGCTCAGCTCTGCTGTAGCACGGGTGCAGCCACAGACAGTGCATGCAGCAGTGAGTGTGGCTCTACCCAGTAAAACTTAACTTGTAAAATAAGCAGCCAGGTAGATTGTCAGTCCTTTAGGGAAGATAGAAGACATTAATCTTCTGCTCTGGGCCATGAATCTTTGTAAGACTATAGACTACATTGTGTTGTATAATTCAAGCAACAAAAACAAAATAATTGCTGAAGTGACCTCTGGACTAGAAGTCACTAATTCAGATGTCTAAAAGCATCAGCCAATTGCCCAGTGACAGATAATAGAAAGTAATGGGGCTTACAGCAAATCAAAGAGCATGTGTCCTTTGTAAAGGATGGAGCCCCTATTTGGCTCCAGCTAGTTGTAAGTTCCCTCCCACCCCAAGAAAAGCTGAAAATAGGGATTTTTATGTGAAATCTCCCAGTTTGTAATGAGGGCAACTGAAAGAAAAAAATGTAATACTGTCTTGTACAAACCACACACACACATGGATCATTTCTGGACTAGGGGGTGTGACTTCTGCTCTAGATTCCGGTCTAGTATGCTAATCTTTTTTTTCTTTCTTTCTCTTTAGTCCCTTTTGATGAAGATGACAAAGATGATTCTGTTTGGTTTTTAGACCATGATTATTTAGAAAACATGTATGGAATGTTTAAGAAGGTCAATGGTAAGTCTTAATTTTCTTAGAAGGTGTTAATGCATCACATTGATTTGTGTGGGTTCCCCGCCAAAAAAACTATGCACTTTTCTTTGTTTAATATCAAAGGCCCTTTCATTTAACCAGACATAATTAAAATTAATGGTAGGGGAGGAATGAAGGAATGGGAAACTAGAGTAACAGTTTCAGGCCAGATAGATTGCCTAGGTTTGAGGGGGAAACAGAAAAGCAGAGCACTAGCACAGAAACCCCACCTGCCCCTTGGGCTCCACTAGGGTAAGTAGATCTCCCTGTCTTGTACATCATTTTCATTTCATTTCATTACCATAGCTGTATTGCTTTCAAAATGTTTATTCCCACAACACTCAATGATGCCGTCTGTGTGACTTGAACTTCATTGGTTTATATATTGCCTTGGAATTGCTCTCTAGTTGTTTCATGTATTACTGGTCTTCTAAACTAGCCTAGGATATGCTTGTCTCCAATACTGCTTATATTCTGAGAATCCTGTTTTTGGGTTTTAGATAATAATAGTATGTCAGGGTTTAAAATAGATGCCTATAATTTTCAAAAAGGTAGAGGGAATAACTATTAATACTCTTATCCTTTTGGGGGGAGTTATATAGATCTTAGTGCTACAGTTAAAACCCACTATTATTTTCTTTCCTAGCTAGGGAAAGAATAGTTGGGTGGTACCACACAGGCCCTAAACTACACAAGAATGACATCGCCATCAATGAACTCATGAAAAGATACTGCCCAAACTCAGTAAGTGCTGTTTTCAAAACTCTTGAATGCCATTCTTTGCTAGCTAACTCAAGCTAAGAGAGTACCCTAGGAAGGACTTGGGTAGCAATTCATTTCACAGCTTTTCCCCTCTGCTGCGCTAATGTGTAATATTCTAGATAGTATACTATACCTAATGGGTTTAAGAAATAGAGTTAAACACCTGCCAAGTGCCATGTATATGAGTTATCTTACTTAATCCTCTCACTAACTTCAGAGGATTGTTATTCTCTTTAACAATGAGCAAAGTGCAATAATGACCAGAATTACTGGTCAGGTGAAATCTGGCGAGACTCCCAATACTATGGCCCTGGAATACATTCTGCGCCTAGAATAAAATGTACCCCCAGGGGCGGGCTCTCAGCCCAATAGTTAACAGCCCAATGTACACGCAGACCACTCAACCCAGGATGACGCACCTACATACTCTATGGTAACACATCCCTTAGAGCAATAGACCCTAGGACACTGAGGACCAACATTCAAATTGAGGAAATGCAGGACAAGCAGGAGTGCATAAATATGAGGGGCATAGGGGGAGGGTTACAGGGTAGGGAGGGGAGGAGACTGGGTTAGGGCTGGACATGGGGAATGGGGAATGAAACTAAATGTACTTGTTACGTTAAATGTAAAACAAGCTCTTAAAATTAAAAAAATAAATATAAGAAAAGTGGGCTTCAGAATGGTTAGTAAGGTCTGGTGAATGGAGGGACTGGGGTTGAAGTGGTGGCTGTCAGTACTCCAGTTTCATTGTTACCTTACCACCACACAATACCATTGTTTGTGGATGGAGGTGAAGAGCAAGAGTAAATGGTGAAATCATGGGAAATGTAAAGTCCCATTGCTGGAAATCCTGGCTCATTTCTGATTGAATTTGAAATCGCTTCAGTAATCATCAGAAGCATGGCTGTGATTATCTCTTAGGTGATGGCTCTGAGGTGCTGTGCTTATTTCTCTGCTAGGTATTGGTCATTATTGACGTGAAGCCAAAGGACCTGGGGCTGCCCACAGAAGCATACATTTCCGTGGAAGAAGTTCATGATGTAAGTCATCTTGCTATGAGCCTGGGAGACTGGATTTGCTGCTTATTTGAAGGTTGTTTTTCTATTTTCAAGTCAGTAGATCTTTCTGTAACAGAAGTTTGTTGGTTTCTGTCAGTAGTTTGATCTCGTTTTCTTCCCTTGAGTTTCTGAATCACCCCGTTTTAGAGTGTCGTTTACAAATGAAATTGAGGCCCCAGAGCCATTCACAGCAAAAGAAATGCAGAGGCTGCCGAGTTTAATCTTAACTCGAGTGCCACTTCTACTGTTGAGCCACCTCTGTGCCACTAACCCTTTCTCCTTGAAGATGTTCAGTCCCTGTAGAGACTACATCACAGGTTTTCAGATTGAACGTGCGAGACCTGAGTGATCATCTGACACGTGAATGCTCAGCTCCACAGCATACAGTCCTGCTGGGCGGCTCATTAGCAGGTGCTTCTGCCATAGAATTTAGGAGCTGCTAAGAAATAGCTTCTGTTTCCTGCAAAATTGAACTTAAGTTCTAGGACAGGACTTGATGTAAAAATATTTATGTGTTTTGTTGTGATTCCAAAATATTTGTACTTAAAATATCCACCAAAGGACTTGATCTTGAATTTCCTAAAATTAGTCTATAGGATGGATTTAAGTCAGTTTTGGCTGTTGTTGTTGTTGTTGTTATGTGCCATCGAGTCGTTCCCGACTCATAGCGACCCCTCCTTGGGTTTCCGAGGCAGTATCACTACGGAAGTAGGATTGCCCAACCTTCCTTCCGAGGAGTGGCTGGTGGGTTTGAACCGCCATCCTTCTGGTTAGCAGTCAAGTGCTTTAGCCACTATGCTACCAGAGCTCCCAGTTTTGGCTGTAGATATGTAGTATTTATCTTTATATTCGATTTTAAGATCTGAAAAAGATACTGTACATTAGTTCCCTAGAAATTTTACTTCCCTTTAGTGCTGGCCTCCTGTTTTCTCTTTTTGCCTTGCTAGATCTACATTTATTACCCAATTGTAATACAGCCTTTATCCCTGGTCTTTATACTATTGTTTTTAAGTTAATTTTTCCCTTGCCTCTTTGTAAAAGCAATTTGAGATTACATACACGCACATAATGCAGCAAGATTTTTTTTTTAAAAAAATAGAAACTACAGGTAACATATAAGATCATGTTACAAAATTAAACCAGAAAAGAATTAGTCCCTGAAAGGGCATGCTGTGAAGTTCGGCAAGATTGAAAGGCCTCGGCTTTCCTAGCATCTTAGCATCCAGAGCAAAAAGGAAAATGCCATTTGCAGGATTCACACTACCCAGAGTAAAATATCACTTAACAGCACTGAGAATAAAAAAAGTGATTTGACCAGAGTCACACAGCAGCCTCACCATGCATGGCAGAGCCAGGCTTTGAGCCCAGGGAGTGTGGCTGCCTAGTCTGCTATCACCACTGGGCTGCTTTGCAGACACTGGACAGCTTTACAGGGGAGGCATGGCCTCTTGTGGCATTAGGTCTGAGAACGATTTATCCTGAGTCCCAGCAGGAAATCACCAGGTGAACCACATCCCCAACATCTCCCAGCCTGACCCTTTGATAAGTTCTAATCAGGAAGTTAGTTACTGTGATTGTATTGTTTTGGGTACTCTGTTACAATATGCTTCAAGGGACAAGAGTTGGTTTCTACCATGAGCTTGCCTAAAGGACAAGTATGCTATAGACTGCCTGTTTTAGAAAGAACTATATACTGGAAAGATCAGCTTAACCTGAGTGTCATCCCCACTGTGGGCTTGAGGAAATAGCAGGATTTACCTCAGAATTGAGTGGCACTACAGCATACAAACAAGCATACTTTGTCACTGAGCAGAGGCACAGTTGTAGCATGGAAAGCTTTCACAGCGAGCTTTACTCACCCTCGACATGGGAAACTCTCAGTAATGGACCTATGAGATGATCTGACTTGAAGCGGTAGAATAAAGGTGTATAAAAGAAACAACGCTGTTTGTTTGTAAGTAAATAACTACAGTTAAGCTTCCTCTCCCAGGATGGAACTCCAACCTCAAAGACATTTGAGCATGTAACCAGTGAAATTGGAGCTGAGGAAGCTGAGGAAGTTGGAGTTGAACACTTGTTACGGTGAGACCTTGTTAGTGTGGCCTCAGACCTGTAAGCGGTGTTCTCTGCCAAGTTCCTACTAGTGGTCCAGGAGGCTGCCCTGTGTCATGAGTAAGGAGATCTGCATTCTCATCTCAGCCCAGCACTAACAGTTCTATGATTCTGAACAAATCACTGCCCTCTCTGGACTTTTCTTACCTGTAAATTGAAATGGCTGAACTAGCTATTCCCTTACAACTTAGTGGGTAGCACACCTTGCACAAAAATGGACGTTGACTGTGACAGGAACAAATGTATGCAATAAATTGCAGGCATGCCCTTTTCTGGTGTGTGCCCTTTCAAGAGTAGCCAGTTTTCTGCAGAGAATCTACATCTTGAGGTTTTGAGAGGGGTTTTTTGGATTCAATTTTTAAATTCTATATTTCACATACTGGTTAAAACTTTACAGCTGCTAACCAAAAGGTCTGTGGTTCAAACCCACCAGCTGCTTCACAGGAGAAAGATGAGGCAGTCTGCGTCCATAAAGACTTACATTCTTGGAAACCCTATGATACTCTGTCCTGTAGGTTCACTGTGACTCGGAATCAACTCGATGGCAGTGGGTTGTTTGTTGGGTTATATTTGAGGTGTCTAACATAGTTCTTTCTAGCTCTAAAAATGACTGCAAACTGATTTAAGTCGTCCTGAGGAACCGGGAATTGCAGTAGAGTGTTTGATGATACAGCCAAGAGGATGTGATTGGCAGAGCTGAAACGCTGACCCAGACAATTTTTTTTTTAAAGTGGAAATGGTTTCATTTTAGCTTTTCATTAATTATATCTTGAAAAATAGATGTACTGCGAGGAAAAAACAAAATTAATGTAATTTATACTCAAATCTTTATCAAACGGAGAGGAAGCAGCGTTTTCCTTTGGAAAACATGCTGCTCTCCACAGAGCTGGGTGTTCTTAGAATGTGAGTGCCCCTTGATCATGTGGTACACTGACGCTTTTCCTGCCTTTCTTGTGGGTATTCCAGAGACATCAAAGACACGACAGTGGGTACTCTTTCCCAGCGTATCACAAACCAGGTCCATGGTTTGAAGGGACTGAACTCCAAGCTTCTGGATATCAGGAGCTACCTGGAGAAAGTGGCCACAGGCAAGCTGCCCATTAACCACCAGATCATCTACCAGCTGCAGGATGTCTTCAACCTGTTGCCTGATGTCAGCCTGCAGGAGTTTGTCAAAGCCTTTTACCTAAAGACCAACGACCAGATGGTGGTGGTGTACTTGGCCTCATTGATTCGCTCTGTGGTTGCCCTGCACAACCTCATCAACAACAAGATTGCCAACCGGGATGCAGAGAAGAAAGAAGGGCAGGAAAAAGAAGAGAGCAAAAAGGATAGAAAAGATGACAAAGATAAAGATAAGGAAAAGAGCGATGTAAAGAAAGAAGAGAAAAAGGAGAAAAAATGAAACATGTAGCTTTTTTAATTTGTAAATTAAAATCGTATAAACTAAATCAGTGTGCCGCTAGAGGGTTGTTTTCACTTTAAGTGCTTTTTAAAAAGCTGTATTGATGAGCGCTCTCTGCCTCAGGTCACTCTTGCTGTGGTATTACATGGAAAGGAATGGATAGAGGGACTGATCTTGTACCTAAACTGCAGCTTTGGCTGGTAGGAGAGTTGGGAATATGATAGTTGGCTCAGGCTAAAGATTGTGTGAGAAAAGTGAAGAAGAGTACATGTAAAATTTGGTACTGTTGATTCTTAACAAAACCAAGAGTTGAGTTTTCCCAGTGTTGAAAGACTCTTGGAGTTGTTTCTGGCAGATGCAAAGTTGCTAATGGAACACATGAATTCCCTAAGTGCTCTGCCTCGTAACACCTTGAGTTCTGACCTCTGCATTGAGAATACTGTACCACGGGACCCTTTGGACCTGTAGCTCTGGCATCCACAGAGCTTGGGATCCTGCTCCATGTATTGTTTACCTTCAAAGATGCAATTAAATGGCTTGGTTTTTAAGTCTGTGTTTTAGTTGTTTTTGACTCTGGGAGGGAATAGTGATCCACTGTTTTCAGAAGTACGTAAGATAGTCTTCACTGAAGCTGCATTAATTTAGACTTAAAATCTTTTATGAAAGATAGGTCTCATTTCTTTAAATAACACCATGCAGTCTGCTAGAGAGAAAGCTCCCAACTGAGCCCAGAAGACCAGGCTTGAATTTGGGCCTCACATTCTTCATTTGTAAAGTGGCAGGCAAAGTCAGTTATCTCTGACAGCCCTAAAGCAGCTTTTCATAAGGACATTCTTCATGGAGTGGCTGTGAGCAGATCAGGCCACAGGGTAAATAGGGATGTTAAGGATGGAGCAGCGTTTCCCCAAATACCGAAATAAGACGGTTAAAGAAGGTATGTAGTCACTAGGTGGACAGCAGTCACTTGGGTATTTCCATTCTTGGGTGGTTGGCAGCTCTTTCACAGTTCTCTGACATACCATGTGGATTATCAGTTTTCAAAGACTTAAGAATATAATAAAACAACACTGTAACTAAGTCAACTGACTTTCATAAACCATCCCATCATGTTAACTCACTCAATGCTGTCGAGTTGGCGCCTACTCATAGTGACCTCTCCTCGAGTTTCCAAGGCGGTATAACTATGGAATTAGATTGCCTAACCTGGTTAGCAGTCCAGTGCCTTAAGCACTACACGACCAGAGTTCCCATGATGTTATAAAGCCTTAAATGTCATCAGAAGCCTCCATTTTTATTCCGTAGACTAGCCAAAAAGCTAAGTTGATGAAAATTTGGAAGTTAATAGTATGATGTATTTCTGAGCATTTATTCTACATAAATAAAAACATCCTCATGTCAGGGGTCACTTCCAGGTTCATGGAGAGTGAGATGAAAGGTGTGAAAGGCCATAGAGAAGAAAGTTATACTGAACTATCTCAGCAGTCAAAAATTTCAAGTTGTCTTTAACAAAGTAAAGGAAAATTCAGATCCTTAGTTGAAAGCTTTTGAAGTATAGTCAAGACAGGAGCATCGGTGCTTTGGAGATTTGGTTCTCGACTTCAGAACAGACTGGTGAGGGAGAGAGAATATGGGGCAGTGTGGGAAGAGCCAGGAAAGAATGATACTGAAGCTTTAGATGGGAAGAAGTGACAGCCTAAAGGAAGTGGGTCCTTTGTGTAAGGTTCAGGGTACAAGGTGGACCCCAGGTTTGAGGCCATATGCCATTCAGATCTGACATAGCTTGGGTTTAACAGAGCTTTCCCAAGGTCTCATGATGTAGCACAATGCCACAGGCTTTTAAACTCGCCCCAGTTTGATGTTTAAGTTCACCGAGTAGGAACATACGACTACCCAGGCCTTGCTCAAGTTTGATCCACATATGGACAAAGTTGACTTAGACCTTCCTAATCATTCCTCAGTTCCAGCTTTCAGTGAGAATAGTTTGTTGTCTTTAGAGCCATTCACACAATCATTTTCTAAGTTGTCCTATATAATTGGGCAAGCCCAGCAGAGCTACTGAGGAAATCTTGTTCTATTAGACAAATGGCAGCAGACTTGACTACAAAGCTTGTGGCCCCCTCGGCCCCCTCCTAGAGTAAAGCCTGGCAGTCTCGAGATGCGATATCTCAACTACTAAGAAAGGGAAAACTGCTGGAAGAAGTCTTACTCTGAGTTTGAATACCATCTCCGTGGTTGGAACAGTACCTTCACTTCCGTTTCCAGAAGCCCTCAGAGTAACTTAACAGAGTAGGCTGCTGCTGCTACAAGTTAGTTTGAAAACAGACATCAGAAATCTTCCTCAACGTTTCAGATCAAACAAGCAGAAAGGAATGTTGTGTGTCAGAGTAGAACAGTGTTCTACAAGGTTTTCAGCGACTGAATTTTTTTCAGAAGTACACCCAAAATGTTAGGCTGTTGGGTTGGCTCCAACTCATAGCGACCTGTACCCCAAAACAACACTGCCTGGTCCTGTGCCATCCTCACATCTTTGCTACATTTCAGCCCATCAGCTGCAGCCACTGTGTACTGTCAGTCCATCTTAGTGAAGGTCTTCCCCTTTTCTGCTGACCTTCTTTACCAACACGATTTCCTTCTCCAGGGAATGAGCCCTTCTGACAACAAGACCAAAGGAGGCAGGACAAAGTCTGGTCATTCTCACTTCTAAGAGCAACCTGGCTGTTCTTCCAAGATAGATTTGTTCGTTCTCCTGACAGTCCATGGTGTTTTCAGTATTCTTTGCCAACACCACTATTCATAGGCATTAACTCTTCTTCAGTCTTCCATAGTCATTGTCCAGCTTTCACGTACCTATGAAGCAACTGAAAATACTATGGGTTGGGTCAGGTGCACCTTAGTCTTCAAAGTGAAATCTTTGCTCTCTAACACAGCAGTGGTCATTTGCAGCAGATTTGCCTGGTCCTGTATGTCATCTGATTTTTTTTCAGTGCCGTATGTAATCTGATTTTTTTCAATCTTTATGAAAGCTGACTGCCACACCATTCACCTGTGAAGCAGCTAGTGGGTTCAAACCACCAACCTTTTGGTTAGTGGCTTGAGTGCTTTAACCAGTATGCCATCAGGCTCCATTACTGTCTATATAAACTATTGCAACTATGATAACCTAATTCTTCTCTGTTCCTTAGAGACTTGAGTAATTGACATGAATAATAATTATGTTTTAAGATTACATAAATGTTATACACAAATGCACACATTAACAAGTTTTATTAATATTCTATGAACCAAATCAGGCCTGGCCCTGCCCTCCAATATATTTTACTGATTTCCATTATATATTTAGATTGAAAAATAGAAATAAAGATGCCTTTTTTCCTTGAGTTGGTAATTATTGCACCATGTGATAGTTGGTGTTGTGTGTCAACTTGGCTGGACCAAGATTCTGAGTGGCTTTTAAGCAGTGGTGATGTGGTTATTCTCATGATGAGATTAGAAGTATATGCTTTGAGCAGCCAATCCGTTGAAAGGCAGTTTCTGGAGGGGTGTGGCCTGCTTCATACACACACACACATAAACATATATGGACATCCTGTGAAAAGGAGAGAACCTTCTGGGGATCTGGGTCTTGTGCTGCCCACAGCTGTTCGTGAGCAAACAATCCACCATTCTGCCTGGTGATCTGGGATCGGTCAGCCACAGAAGTCAGCAGCTGGTATACTGTCTGCCAACCTTGAGCTCATCAGCCCCTGCAGCTGCGTGGGTCAGCAAAAGGCTCCAGTTTGATGTTTTATCCAGGAACTTGGGACTTGTCAGCTTCTCTGTGTGAGCCATTTTCCAAAGATAAATTTCTTTCTCTGTCTCTCTCTCTCTCAGCTGATTTTGCTTCTCTAGAGAACCCAGCCTAACACAAACCACTAAATAAAAACGAGGTTTTCCTTAGAAATCTGTATTTAACATGGTACTGCTAAATACATTTAAACAATTCTCTTACCAGTGGAAAATGATGCTTCAAAACAACTTCTCCAAAATGCTCCTACCTCTTAGACTCAATTCATAATTAAGGAGTTGTTGTTGTTGTTATTTGCCATCGAGTCGGCCCTGACTCCTAGCGACCCCTCCTTGGGTTTCCGAGGCAGTTATCACTACGGAAGTAGGATTGCCCAACCTTCCTTCCAAAATTAAGGAGTAGTAATTGGTAATCCACTAAACCATTGCCCTTTGTACTAGTTTGCTTACTTTTATTATGGTGAAAACATACACAATAAGACATGCACCAACATAACAACTTCCACATTTACAGCTCAGGAACATTGATGACATTTTTCATGTTGTGCCACCATTATTGCTATCCTTTTCTGAAGTATTCTACCACCAATGGCATAAACTCAGTGCCCTACAAACAAAAGCTTCCCCTTTCCCCCTCCCTCCTACCCCTGGTAACCACTAGTAATCTTTGGTATATTATGCATATTTTTTTTCCCCCCTCCAACCTATCTAGGAATTTTCCATCCCCTCCCCTCTCATTCTTGGTAACCAACAAAGAACGTTTCCTTCCATGTATAAACCTTTCCTGACTTTTTACAGTATCATCTGATTGACTGCTGCTTCCATGGATGTTGATGATCTCCCTGACAACTTCAATCTTTTCTCCATTTATTGTGATGTAGCTTATTGGTCCAGTTGTGAGGATTTTTGTTTTCTTTATATTGAGGTGTAATCCATACTGAAGGCTGTTCATTTTTGATGTTCATTAGTTGGTGCTTCACATCCTCTTCACTTTCAGCAAGCAAGGTTGTGTCACTGCATACCATACATAGGTTGTTAATGAGTCTTCCCTCCAATCCTGATGCCCAGTTTCTTAGATTAGTTCCTCAGCATACAGAATAAATAAGGCTGGTGAAAGGATACAACCCAGACACACGTTTCCTGATTTTACACTATGCAGTATCCCCTCATTCTGTTCAAATGACTGCCGCTGGGTATGTACAGATACCTCACGATCACAGTTAAGTGCTCTGGAGTTCCCATTCTTTGCAATGTTATCCATAATTTGTTATGATCCACACAGTCAAATGATTTGCATAGTCAATAAAACCCAGGCAAACATCTTTCTGGTATTAGTTGTTTTCAGCCTAGATCTGTCTAAACAGCAGCAATGATATCTCTCGTTCCATACCCTCTTCTGGATCCAGCTTGAGTTTCTGGCAGTTCTCTGTCAATAAACTGCTACAACCATCTTTCATTATCTTCATCAAAATTTTCCTTGCTTGTGATATTAATGATACAGTTTGATAATTTTGTATTTTGTTGGATCACCTTTGTTTGGATTGGGCACAAATAGGGAACTCTTACAGTTGGTTGGCCAGATAGCTGTCTTCCAAATCTCTTGGCATAAATAAGTGAGCACCTCCAGCGCTGCATCTGTTTGCTGAAACATCTCAATGTATATTCTGTCAATTCCTGGAACCTTTACGGCTTCAGTGCAGCTTGGACTTCTTCCTTCAATACCATCAGTTCTTGATATGCTACCTCTTGAA